ATGAGATTCTTTTTTAACCATGAATGCATAGGATTATTGAACCTGATTTATGGATACCACTATCATTTTTTAGTATTGAGAGACTTGCTTTTGATATATTTTAAAGTGACACTCAGTCACAACATGGATCTTGATTCTTCATGAACCTGATAGGCAACAGTTTATAAAGATTCATGTCATACTTTTATTACTAATAATTACTCATGAGATTTTGTTTTCTACGTTTACTCATAGTTTAGAAAATTATAATATTAGTAAGTACCACTTGAATAATATAGTCATACTATGTATTGACATAACTATACAAGTGGACTTCAATTTTTTTCACTTGCTCATGAGCCAATTACTAATAATATGAGATACAACATGTGATTTATCACTTCAACTAGAACTCTCTTGGGGGACGAACCCACAGAGTTCACACTCATTACCTACATGCATTGAAGAACCAATTTCCTGCCCATTTAATTCCATCCAAATAAAAATCAGAAGATAACTGATAACATAAACCTGGTCATATAAATAATTCCATAATTATTCAAAGTAACCACAAATTATCCAAGAATCTTAAAACACAATCCACGACCATTAGAGTAGCAAAGCAATGTACATTACACCCAAGTTACCAAAATACAATAGAAAGTATCGAACTCTCCACCGTATAACAAGTGGAGTCCCCTAGCAGCGGATAACAAAAGAAACAACTAAACATCGATCAGGACTCCTTGGAAGGGTTTTCCTCTATCTCCTTGGTATCTGAAGGATCCTCCTCAAATTGAGCTCAATGTGGAGAATAAGACGGAGAGAGGCCATCCACAAGATCTGTGAATACTAAAAGAAAATGTCCAACGCCATAAGATATTTCAACAAAGAAAAGAAGGAGTAAGATATATTTCCAAGTAAATATATTTCCAAAAAGAAACAAAACAAAGTAGTATGAGCATACATCATGTTAATACAATTGTAACGTTTATAATCTAAAAAAATGCAAGTCTAATTACATGATGCATGATTAATACAAATGATAACTCTTGGTTTTGAAAATTCTCATTTTTAAGCTTATGCGACTCTGGATCCATAACAATCCTATTGTTCAAAAGTTGTTAGTAGTTTCAGTAACTAGCCTACATTTCGCATGTATGGTGAGCACTCGAACCTCCACCGACTGATCTAGCTCGACCAACAAGATAAGCCTCAAGAGAAAGTCTGTATAAAGGAGCATTGCGTGGAGACTCCCAGCTCGTTTTCGGGGCCTAGGACACTGATAGGGCCTTTGGTAAGTCACCCAACTCCATTAAATCCCCTAGACATCGAGGTCCTCCCTATCTTTTACCAACAACAATATAAAATAACCTCGTGACTTTCTTCACAGGGGAGTGGGAATTCACATACATTTTCCTTCTAAATAGTCATGCACATTTTTGGAGTTTCACTTCCTTAATCATGTACGATAGGCGCTGGCCAATTTTAAGATTTCACATGATTTTATCAACTATTCAGAATCATATATATATATACAAAGAATTGGTAAGTACTTATATCCATGCCTCAATGCACTTTCTCTAAGTGTTCCAAGCTCACTAGTTTCATCTCTTTCCTTGAGTTCCAACCATTACCTGACTATAGTTACACTACTCATTTATTTTCAAAAAGGAAGAAAACAAATTTTTCACAAGGGTTTACTTTTAGTCATTGGATTCAATTATTAAACTCAAGGTTGGAGCTGAAACCATGGCTAAGCTCCTTAGAGCGCATATACTTATATACCAATTTACTCTCAGCATATCATCATGCATGTTCCCACCCTTTAAGGGCTCAAGTTCACAAATGGAGCCCACTCAACCTTCATATGCCTATATGCATATTCTTATTTCTTTACACATTACATGCGCCAAATCAGCTCGTTCCCTCACAACCTGATGATTAGAAATTATGATATTTGATTCACAACTAACACTCACATGCCTAATATACACAACTGACACCTAACAGCCTCACCCCGTAGGTTTACCTAGACCATGCTCTGATACCACTAAAATGTCACGATCCCTTTTTATAAGGAACCGAGAACATTATTTCTACAACACTTATTTATGATAGATAAATAATGGAGAATATAAGTATAAAATTCACTTTTCATTCAAAATAAACAGAGTTACTTGTAACAATATCCAACAGAACAACATAATATTACATTGAGTTCAAAATACTCAAAAGACACAAAAATTAAACTACATAACTCCCTTTATATGAGGTCTCAAAATATAAGGAAATGAACTTTAATACAAAATTACTCGACTCCAGTTTTCTAACATGTCTCCACTGGCCCCTCGGTCAGTGAAGTAGGTGCAACCCTTGTTACATCTGCTCATGTACCACCATACGATCATCGCAATACACACGCACACAAAAACATAGACAGAAATGCAAGCGTGAGCTTACAAAAGAAAAATCATATATATAACAAAAGATTACTCACAGCAACAACCCCATGCATTCTCATACCATCTAATGCACAACAAGAAAATGGTTCCAACTGGTTTCAGAGGATAAGTAATCTTTAGGAGTGATGAATCCACATTTTATTGGATTTTTACTTGTCATATTGATGTTTGTTAATAGAAAAAGTAAACTTAGGAAGTGTAAATAACATAAAAACATCATTTTGGTCAAATATCACAGGTTTCTTAATTTTTGGTTAATTTACATTGATTTACATAGATATAGTTTGCAATTTTGATCATTAGAACAATTGTACAGGAATTTCTAGATTTTTTCCATGGATTTTTAGCAATTGAGAAAGTTTGAGATGAAAGTGATCACTTTGGATCCCATAGTGAACACTACAGCAAGCTAAATCCAGAAGGGCAGACCAAAGTGATCACTATGAACCCATAGTGATAACTCCAGAGAGACCAAAAAGCACAAGACTTGCGCGTAGCTACTATAGAACCATAGTAGACACTCTGGAGCAGCCAAAGTTATCACTCTGATACCAAAGTGATAACTCCAGAAAGGCTACAAGCACAGGACTTACGCGTAAACACTATGGAGCGAGAGTGACTACTATGGAGCGCTGCGCGTTATCACTATGAAGCCAAAGTGATAACCCCAGAGAGGCCCAAATCACAGGACTTGTGTGTAACCACTATGGAGCCAGAGTGACTACTATGGAGCGTTGCGCGTTATCACTATGAAACCATAGTAGTTACTTTGGGAGAAAATTTCTGCACTATAAATAGAATTTGAGAAATTAGGGTAGGGAGCTTTTTACACACTTTTAGCTTCTTTTTCCATTTTTGGGGGACACTTGCAGAGCCTAGGGTGGCCTTGGGTGACAGCCAAGGGTCCAACCTACAGTTTGATTTCCATTTTCTCCTTACCTCTCTTTGATTTTTGTATTGATGTTATTGATTTTTCTTTACTTTCATTTTGTAATTGTGAGACCCATCCTCATGGAGGGTTAGTTTTCTTGTAATCTCTAGTGAGTTCATATGGGTTCTTGAATTCTTGGGTTTTTGAATGTTAATGCAAATCTTTTTCTTCCATGAATTTCTTCCTCCCAAACTCTTGAATTGAATTAATGGTTGAATGAGGGGAGCATTGTGTAATGAACCCTAATTCGTTTTAAGGAAATTCTAAATTTGAATAGCTTAATTCTTGTTTAATTCCAAGATTTCGTAATCAAGGAATGAGAGATTGGAGTTCATTGGATTGCTTAATTCATATGAAAACATAAGGTTGATTTTTGATTGTTAAATCAACCTAATTCTGGGAGGAGAGGAAGAGTATTAAATCTTGAGAGGAATAGGGATAGAGTTTATATGAATGAACTAGGGGTTACTACATTTTATCGATTGAACTTTGTAATTTAATTTTCTGCTTAAGTTGATTGAACTTGAAATCACAAACTCCCCCCCTTTTTTTTTACTTGCTTTCCAAATACATTACACACTACATGTTTGATATTTAGTCACTCGTCCAATGATTCATGGGAGATAACCTAGGCTTGCATCCTAGACTACATAAATTTTTCTGCATATTTTGATGAAGGTTGACGACAAATCTTTTTGCAAATGAGAAAATATTTCGTTCATCAAATTGGAGCCGTTGCCGGGGAATCATTGGTGCTTTATTAGATATTAAATGTGTGGTGTTTTGTTTTTAACTTTCTTCATGTTAATATGTAACTTTCTTTTTAATTTTTGCATGGTAGATAGATTCGAATTATTTTAATTGTGTAGCGTCCCACTCAATTCTGCATTTTGTTTTTGTTATGAATATTCTGCACTTTGCCTATTGCATTCTACATACATGTGCATTTATTTTCTGCTTTGTTTCTAGTTTTCTGTTGTAGAATTCTGTAGAATTTTGTCCAGGTACATACTTTGCATATTCCCTGCACTTGTTCTGCATTTGTGCTTCATTTGTTCTATTTCAATTTTTTTGCATTTTACATTCATTTTCTGCACCTTGCATTCTGTTTCGCTACATTTTTCTGCAGACTTTTGATACACAATTTTACATAATTCTTGCATTTTTGCTGCATAAACTTCTGCATTTTTTTCCTTTAAATTTTGCAATTCTGCATTTCATTTTTGTCTTTAATTTTCTGCACTTTGCTTGTTGTATTCTACATTTTTCTGCATTTATTTTCTGCTCTATTTTTTTTATTCAGTTTTCTGCTGCATAATTCTGCATCATTTTCTGCACTTTTGCAATTTTGCACTTGCATTCTGTTTCTGCATAATTTTTCTGTTTTCATATTCTCCATTCTGCATAATCCTACATATGTTCTATACTTGTTCTGTTTCTAGTCTATTTTAAATTTTTGCATACTATTTTTGCATATATTTTTCTTCACAATTTCATCAAATTCTGCATAATTTTTTGCTGCAATATTTTTTGCATTTCTTTTTTCTGCATCACTTTGCTGCATATTATTTTTGCATAATTTTGCAGCTTTTTAGCTAGATTCTTTTCATTTTGATTTAGATATTATGGCTGAGAAAACTTTAAGAGAACTTGCTTCACCTGATGTATATTTTCAGACATTATGCATCCAATATCCTAATTTAGATACACCTTGTGTGCTTAAGTCTGGATTGATTCATTTGTTACCCAAGTTTCATGGTCTTGTAGGTGAGGATCCATTTAAACACCTCAAAGAATTCCACATTGTTTGTACCACCATGGGACCAGTTGGAATTCCTGAGGATCATATAAAGTTGAAAGCATTCCCATTCTCATTGCAAGACATAGCCAAGGATTGGTTCTACTATTTACCCCCTGGATCAGTCACTAGCTGGGATGGTATAGGAAGAATGTTTCTGGAAAAAAATTTCCCTGCATCTAGAGTGACTTTAATCAGAAAAGAAATTTGTGGTATAAGACAAATGGACAAAGAGAGTTTGTATGAGTATTGGGAGAGATTCAAGAGGCTTTGTGCTAGTTGTCCACATCATCAAATTAATGAGCAACTTCTTATCCAATACTTCTATAAAGGTCTTATATCCATTGATAGACAGATGATTGATGCAGCCAGAGGAGGAGCCTTGGTAGATAAAACTCCTATTGTAGCAAGGCAATTAATTGAGAACATGGCTTCTAATAATCAACAGTTCAACACTAGAAGCAATCTAGTGCCCTTAAATAGTGGAGTTTATGAGATAGAAAATACTCATGTTGCTTATCATAGAAAACTAGAGGACGAGTTAGATGATTTAGCTTCTTTGATCAAGCAATTAGCATTGTCACAGAGGGCTGCAAGGTTATGTGAGATATATGTTTCACATAAACACCCCACTGGTTCTTGTCCTACATTGTATGAACCTGCAGGTTGGATGAGTCACCCGAACTTGAAATGGGGGAATTTTACACAGCAGCAACAACATCAACCTCCACCACAAACTGCTGCACCTTGCAAGAGTGAGCCTTCCTTGGAAGAATTGATAAGGGAAATAGTAGTTAATGATCTAAATTTCCAACAGAGAACGGAAGCAACCATTCAAAACTTGGAAAATCAGATTGGACAGTTGGCTTCTGCTTTAAACCATTTACAATCTCAAGGTTCTGGTAATCTATCTGCACAACCACCTGTCAATCTAGAGGATATTCGTGCCAACACCTTAAGATTAGAAAAGACCATTCAAGACTCGCAAGAGCAACAACCAACTGATAAAGATCTTAATGCTACTGCTCTAGCAAGTAATTGCAACAAATATAGTAGCCCAGCAAGTGCAGATTATGCTCCTACTCCTTGTGCTACTTCTGCTAATGCAGCAGAAAATTTTGAGCAACTTGCTCCTCATTCATTTCATTCAATTTGCCATAATGATTTGTTGAATGATTTAGTTGATGATAATTTGGTTGAGTTTTCTGAATTTTTAGATTGTATTAATTATCCTAACTTAGCCAAATATCCTGATTCTTTTATTTGTGATGGTTGTACTGATTATGCAAAATGTAGCTTTTGTACTGAAATTGATACATATGTGTATGGTGATTTTCATGCAGCTATTGCAGATTCTGAGGAAGCAAATCGAAATTGAAGCCTTTGCCTGAGCTCTTGAAGTATGAATATTACATCACTATATATCCAAGAGTACAACAGCCAAAGTATAGCAAGAGTAAATAATATTTTGGACATCAAGGCAATGAAAAGCGTGAAGAAAAGCTCAATGAGTTCATTGAGCAGCTAGAAATCCCTCCGTAATTATTTCTTCCAAGTTCTCAATTAAATAAAGTGTTGCAGATTTATAAGCAAAAAGAGAAATATCTAGGGATATAACCAAAATTGCTACTATCAAAAGTATCTCCTAGAATTAAAGATCATAAGGTGTCAAGCTAGTGACGTTAAAAGAGCATTGTTTGAGAGGCAACTCACAGTTTTCTTAGAAGTTTTCAATTTATTTTATGCATTTAGCAATGGTCTTGCATTTGAGTTTTGGATATCTCATCAATTCTACTGCATAAACATTCTGATCTGCATTTTACTTTGATATTTGACATGTGTTTTTGCATAATTCTGAATTTTGCAGAGGGAGAACACAAATTTTGGATCCAATTTCTGCATAAAATTAAGAAAGGATCATGTGCAGCAGGAGTAAACACTTTCAGAACTTAAGGTAGTCACTTTAGGGAGAAAAATGAGAGTTTATCATGAAGGTAATCACTTTCCCAAGCAAAAGTAGTTACTCTCAGTCCAGGTATACATCTTTGTTCTCTGAAGTGATCACTTTCAATGGTCACAGTAACCACTCTCAACTAAGGTATGGATTTCTATTCTTTGTAGTGAACACTTTCATAGCTGATAGACTTTCAAGATTTTTGAGCTAAATAGGATGCACATGTTTACTTTCACTTACCATAGTGAACATGTGCAACAACCCTAAGGGTAAAAAAAAAATTAAAAATTAAAAAAAAAACCATAGTAGTTACTATCGGTTACCATAGTAACTACGTGCACCAGAGTGATCACTATTGCTTACAATAGTGATTACGCGCACCTCACCGACTTCATTCACTTCTTTGGAGTGATTACTTTCACATGCATAGTGATTACTTTGCACACCCTTCTGCTGGTAGTTGTATTTCTCTGCATAATTGCACTGAGGCTTGAATTATGTTGCTGCATAAGTGCCTTGACATGCTTAGATTCCATAGTGGTTACTATCCTTTTCCATAGTACTCACTTTAGTAGTGCATTTTTCCATAGTAATTACTCTGCCATGAACTTTTATTACTAAAATACTGCATAATTGTTGTCACACATGCCTGATATCATCGGCACATAATCTAACAGGTAACTTACATTCTTGAAGTTTTTTGTGTCTATATTGCTACATTAAATATGTCATGCCTGCACCATTAAAGTAATCATTATCACTGTGCATAGTATTTACTTTGACATTGCACTTCTTCATAGTAACCATTCTAGCTTGCACTTTCACTATGACATTGGGCATGATTTTGACTGGCTGTCAGCTGCATTTTGCTGCATCTGCACTCACATATTCTGCAGCATTGTTTTTTTTCCTGAAATTTCCCTGTATATATGCTAAATATCCTTGCTACCTACTTACCAATTGCATGATCCACTCATTGTTTTCTTTTCTCCATGCAGCATCATGGTAAACACTTCCAAGTCTACTCTAAGGACTAATAGAGGCAGGACTGTTGGAGCACCTTCCTCCATTCACCATTACTGCAATTGCACCACCACCTCATGAAGCTAAGAACGATAATAGCTCCAGCTCTTTGGAAGAGGAAGAGGAAGAAGGAGAAGATGCAGCTGATAGTTTTTCTTCCTCCAACTCAAATGAAGACTTGATTTAGTTTTAGTTTCTTTTATGTCATTTACATTTTAGTTATTTTTATTTCATTTCCTTGTACATATTACCCACCATTTCCATAGTTATTACACTTTATCACTTTTCTTTTCTTGCTTTACTTTTACTTTACTACTTTATCTTTGAATAGTTACTTGACGCTTTCGTTCTCTTTTATATATAAATATCTGTCCAGTCTCAAGACTTCCTTTTTGTGCTGAATCCATTGTGCATCTCTTTGCAGAGTGTACCCTCAGTCCCATCAAGAGGAGCATCAATTTGATTCCTGAATTGTGAGCCATCATCCATAAAAGGGGAGTGATCTCTTTGCCTTTATTTCATGACTGCTCAGTCTAAATTCCTTGCACAGTAATAGTCAAAAAATACAAAAATATATTTTTCCTTTGTGCTTTTGTTTTTAATTTAGTCCAATTTTGTAATTCCAATTTTATATTCTGATTGCACTTCTCATTCAACTCACAATCACTCTCTATTTTGTACATATTTACCATTCCTACCATACTAAACATATTTTCTTGTAAGGTGAACTGTACTCACATGTTGCTAAGTAATTATAACTTTTACCATAGCAGAGAATTGAGTCTTTAATTTCTTTTCTGTGTGCACTATAACATATATCATTGCATCTATCCTCTAGAACTTGCCCTGTTTCTTGATTGAATATGCATTTTGCAATTTCTCATCTAGATGATTGAGGCCGTCCTTGTGCACACCCACCCACCCTAGAACACCCTTGCACCTAATTACCTTGTTCCAAACTATGATTTTTGCCAAACTTAGTCTGCAAAACTATTTTTCTTACCTCAAGAAAAGAATTTCTTTTGAGTTGCATCAAGAGTGAATGCAAGAAACTAAGTTTGGGGTGCTGATTATCACTGTAGTTGCTTAAGGACAAGCAAAATCTTAAGTTTGGGTTGGTGAACATCATACATGTTAATAATACATGTAAAAAAATGTTTGAAATTGAAGAAGAGAATGATTGTCAAAGTTCATAAAAAATTGATGATAAATGAATGAAAAAGAAAAAAGAAAAATACAGCAAGTCATTTTGATAGAAAAAAGGATTCTCCACATAAGGCAAAGTAAATGAAAAGTATGGTGTAAGAGTGCTTGAATCTCACTTGCTGCATAATTTAATGCATTCCACTCTTAGTTGTTGTACTCACTCACTCAAAGGAATTCCTCCTCTTAAAAACTCACTTGAGCTTTTGACCCTCCTTGATCAAAATTGAACCTAAATTAATCCATTTGTGACCAACAAAGTCCTCATGATAGGTGGTTCATTGTATCTAGGCAAAGGAGATTGAGAATATGGGTAAGCATATGGTAGGGTGAGGCAAAATGCATGAATTGAGGAAAAACACTTAGCCTGAAATATTGATAAGTGAAGAGTGAAACACCATCTTGTGAGCTTGATAATTTCTTTGCACTGTGTGGATTGCATGAAACTTTGCTGGATTTTTGTTTCAGTTTAATGGGACTTTGCTTAAAAATAATTGATTTAGGCATGATTTCTTTGTTGAATGAATCCATGATTTTGGAAACATTGGAAGTGTCAATTAGGGTATGATCTTCGAATGAAAATTTTGAAAGAAAATTTTTGGATAAATCCACCCCTCTTGCAAGTAACTTTCTTGAATTTTGATTTGCTTGAGGACAAGCAAAAGTTTAAGTTTGAAGTTGTGATGAATCTACATTTTATTGGATTTTTACTTGTCATATTGATGTTTCTTGATAGAAAAAGTAAACTTAGGAAGTGTAAATAACATAAAAACATCATTTTGGTCAAATATCATAGGTTTCTTAATTTTTGGTTAATTTACATTCATTTACATAGATATAGTTTGCAATTTTGATCATTTGAATAATTGTGCAGGAATTTCTAGACTTTTTCCATGGATTTTTAGAAATTGAGAAAGTTTGACATGAAAGTGATCACTTTGGATCCCATAATGAACACTACAGCAAGCTAAATCCAGAAGGGCAGACCAAAGTGATCACTATGAACCCATAGTGACAACTCCAGAGAGACCAAAAAGGACAAGACTTGCGCGTAGCTGCTATAGAACCATAGTAGACACTCTGGAGCAGCCAAAGTTATCACTCTGATACCAAAGTGACAACTCCAGAAAGGCTAAAAGCACAGGACTTGCGCGTAAACACTATAGAGCGAGAGTGACTACTATGGAGCGCTGCGCGTTATCACTATGAAGCCAAAGTGATAACTCCAGAGAGGCCCAAATCACAGGACTTGCGTGTAACCACTATGGAGCCAGAGTGACTACTATGGAGCGTTGCGCGTTATCACTATGAAACCATAGTAGTTACTTTGGGCAAAAATTTCTGCACTATAAATAGAATTTGAGAAATTAGGGTAGGGAGCTTTTTACACACTTTTAGCTTCTTTTTCCATTTTTGGGGGACACTTGCAGAGCCTAGGGTGGCCTTGGGTGACAGCCAAGGGTCCAACCTACAGTTTGATTTCCATTTTCTCCTTACCTCTCTTTGATTTTTGTATTGATGTTATTGATTTCTCTTTACTTTCATTTTGTAATTGTGAGACCTATCCTCATGGAGGGTTAACTTTCTTGTAATGTCTAGTGAGTTCATATGGGTTCTTAAATTCTTGGGTTTTTGAATGTTAATGCAAATTTTTTTCTTCCATGAATTTCTTCCTCCTAAACTCTTGAATTGAATTAATGGTTGAATGAGGGGAGCATTGTGTAATGAACCCTAATTCATTTTAAGGAAATTCTAAATTTGAATTGCTTAATTCTTGTTTATTCCAAGATTGCTTAATCAAGGAATGAGAGATTAGAGTTCATTGGATTGCTTAATTCATATGAAAACATAAGGTTGATTTTCGATTGTTAAATCAACCTAATTCTGGGAGGAGAGGAAGAGTATTAAATCTTGAGAGGAATAGGGATAAAGTTTATATGAATGAACTAGGGGTTACTACATTTTATCGATTGAACTTTGCAATTTAATTTTCTGGTTAAGTTGATTGAACTTGAAATCACAAACTCCCCCCCTTTTTTTTTACTTGCTTTCCAAATACATTGCACACTACATGTTTGATATTTGGTCGTCCAATGATTCATGGGAGACAACCTAGGCTTGCATCCTAGACTACATAAAATTTTCTGCATATTTTGATGAAGGTTGACGACAAATCTTTTTGCAAATGAGAAAATATT